GCAAGGGTGTCCCTCCTCTGGGCCACCATTGTGTGAGGTCACTTCAGAGACATCGGAGAGACAAGCTCCTTGCTGTGTGGAGGACCAGCTCTATTACATGATTACATGTCTTTAACGCCACTCTGCCAGAAGTGGCCCCCGAGAGACTTCTGATCCCAAAGGAAAATTCTGGAAGCTGAGAACGAGAGCGGGGATCCATATGAAAAACAAAAATCGTACTGTGTGCTGGCACACCGTGCAGCAAAGGGACAGAGTAATGGGTAGAGGGATGGGATGTGGTGCAGACACCAGAAATAGTAGCCGTAGGACACCTGTAGGCTGGTTCTTATTCATTGAAAATGGAAGAGTTTCATATACTCCATTTACATAGCAGAAGCTCACCACTTGATAAGATGGAAGTGAGTTATATTTGTAGTATGTTTTCATGTATTTAGGAGCCCAGGGGGGCGGGGAGTGGTACATGGAGTCCCCTGGGGGCAGGGGTGGGTGGGGGATAAGTGGTTCAGCAGAGGTACCTCAGAAGAAAGGCCTGACCATTGGCTTTCCAAAGGTCACAGGCATGAAAATTCTGTGGGTTGTTATGCCCTGCACCACCTGGGGTTGCCATGAATCAGAGCCTCCATGGCAGTGGTGGTCTGGCATGTACATTTGCGCTGGTGGAGGGCCACCATTGGGCTGGGCTGGCTTGTGGCCTCATTCAGCATGGACTCTTTAAGAGTCAGTGACTGGAGATTTAGTTTGCACGTCAAGCTCAAAACCAGTTGTTTGGAAATCTCCGTGTTAGATTCTGCCAGCCTTGGCTAAAGCACCATGGAGACCAGAGAGCAGTGGGTAAGAAGAGAGGCCATAGTTGGTTTCCAAATCTGAAACTAGGCAGCCTCAGAACAGTGCTAATCACCTGTTGGCCTGGGAGCCTTCGCCCTGATTGGAAGAGTCAGCACACAGACATGGGGCCTGATTTGGGAGTAAGGCCGGAGAATACAAGACATACAATTCACCTACTCAAAGCAACCTTCCTTAATGCGTGATCAGGGCAGGCTGCACCTTCTCGTGGCAGTTATAGGGCTGGGGTCACCCAGGACAGTCACTCATGGAAACCTGCCCTCTGTCCCATGGCGCTCCTGTAGTACCAGACCATACAGGATCCCTTGTAATGTTTAACAAATTTAATCATACTAACATAGATTAAAAATGCTTGTAAATTACTTAAAGGCCACAATTCTTAGGTTATATAAATACCAAAAACAAAATTGCTTTTAAAAATCTTTTCTTATTGAATGACATTATTAGTTACAAATTAATAGTAATTGAGTTGAGGCCCTTGTGTTTTTTTTCTCTCGTTCTTCTAGCCACTGCTTAGTTCTCAAAAGAAGTTATTGATACAGGGTCACAAATACTAATTGCCACAATACTGTAGCTAAAACATTGGAAGATGTGACAAATCTCACCCTTATAAAAACACTAGCCACAATGAAAGTAACAGCCCATGCTTGAAGCATATGCCCGAAAAACCACATGACCTAACCCATCACTGTAACTGGGTCATAATGGCAGACAACTCTGACTGGGACATGTTAGAGAGTTCAAATAGTAGATGAGCACAGAGTTTTAGCCTGGTACATATATTGATATAGCTGGGATTATGAAAAATATTTTTGTGTTATAGTTAGCTATAGGGACATTTTTGTTAACAAATAACAAATTTCGGTGAAATACTGCCTGAAAATTCATAGACAGTCACTCTGGTATCCCTTCCTCTGAGAGCAACACCTGGTGCAGTCTGTACCTCCAACACCCTCTAGTGACTCCACTGATTGGCAAACAAAATCATCAAATTGTGCCATAAGGCTCAGCTCATTCATTTACTAAGCGCTGTTATTTGCTTTGGGTATTAGATATAGCATTCATGTATTGACTGTGTCTATAGCTTGTACACATGCCTATGTGTTTTTAAATGGCACATACTTTCATCAGAGAAGCTCATCCTCCAGGAAGTACAGCTGAATCCCTGATTGGGGGGAAGCTCTAGTGTTGACTGTTAGTTGCTTTATCAAATGAACCAACAGAGATTGGCCTTTTCTATGCTTGAAATTAGTTTACGCCCCAGCAGGTTATAGTCTTTAAGAACTTACCTGGTTTAATATCATGGTATACAGTCTGCTGAAAATAGACAAGGCATGACTCACTTAATATTTTATCTGGAAGAAATCCTGAAGCCTATCAGCTTAGTCTCCTCAAAGAGTATGTCAGTTGGTGTGAGTCCAGAGAGGTTTAGGCACTGGCTCAGGGTCACACAGGAGCAGTGCAAGAACTCAAGTGAGCCACGGCTGGTGATGCCTGGCAGGCTCTTGGTTTTTCTGTCCTGTTCCATAAGTGATAACTTTAAGAGTCGCCCTGCTAGAGAGGCAGTGATTCCTGAAGACAAGGATGCTTTGCTGTCTCAGACGGGCTCATGAAATTTTCACAGGAAAATAAAGTAGTATGGATTTAACTTTTGCCTTTAAAGTTGAAAAAATGTTAAAGCAAGTGCAACAGCAATTTGAGGAGGATGCCAACCTTTAACACAACCTTGCAAATAGCAACAATCACTAGTTTCAGAGTGGTTAAGAAATTTGTGTGTGTGTGTGTGTGTATACAATCCTCAAAGCAGTTTTAATTCTTTAACCTAAAACATGTACGGATAAACTAAAATGCATGCCTGCATCCCAAAATTATTTATGTTATCTGTAAAATCCTTAGATCCAAGTGCAGATTTTCCTTTACTGGCTTCACCCGAGCCCCTGCTGGCACTACTGCCCAGTGCAGGGAACTCAATTCTGAGTCTCATAGAGATTAGGATGGGTCGGGGGCGGCACAGGTAGGAGGGGCCTTCTGGAGCATCAAGTGAACACCCTTGAATTTCTGCCTCATTTTCTATGGCAAATAAACCTAATTTTTGTTCATTGTAACGGGGGGCGGGGAGTGGGGTGGGCGGGGAAGAAAAGACAAATACTGGGTTGCACCCTAACAGCTTCCTGGTCCGAGCATTTTCTTTCACCTCGAGGATCAGGCCACCCGAAGGTAGTGCTGAGCAGGACAGAGCGCTCACTTAATCCCCCAGATGACCCGAACCTGCCCTGTTCGCTGGGTGCAGTTGTAGGAGATCAAGGTCACGAGCTGCGGCATGTGCCTTGGCTTCATTCCTGAAGCCCAGACTTCACCTTTGAACCAGGCAGCCATGCCGTGGGTGCGTGACTTTGTCTAGGACAGCAGGGCGGGGCCTAGCCACTTGATCTGACATCAGTGCCCAGGGTAGGTTTTGGAGGACTGCTAAAGGGTGCTCCTTCCCCCTGGAATGGTCAGTTTATTATTGGCCATCTTTGAGCCTCCACATGCACCCTCTCATATCACTTATATTTCCTCTGAAGCACCACCTCTCCTGTAAAGCTGTCACCTGGGCGACTCTGACTCCTGGC